GTGCAATCTTTGCCGCAGCCGAACATAGGCTCGAACGCTGCACCGCCGCCGCCGCCACCGTCGTCGTCGTCCTCGTCATCGTCATCTTGGCAGCCTAATCAGCAGCAATGGGAGAACAGTCAGCAGCTGTACAATCCTCTGATGGAATCCGCGGCCTTTGGGATGCCTTTTTCGATGCATCACCATCTCGCGCCGCCGTTCGCCCACCCAATGACATCGCCCAACTTCACGCAGCCGCCACCGAGTCTGCCGGGCAGCAACAACGGTCCGCCGCCCAACTTCTCGCTACCACCGCCGAATTATCCGCCCAACAACAACAATAACAATAACCAGGAGCGCCCGGTGGCGCTGCAGGGCGCGCAGGACCAACCACCGAACGTGGACGCGATGCGATTCCCCCCGCGCCATCCTAACGACCGCGGCGGTAACTTCGACGGTGGACAACAGCCGAACTTTCTGCGGAGACCGGGCGAGCCTTCGGACCACCGTTTCCCCGCGGGACGCGCAGAAGGTATCGCCAATCCGGCCGGGAACGAGCAGGAGCAGTTCTTGAGACCTGGCGACGCTGCTTTTAGTAGGTCGAACGAGCCCTTCACTGATCGAATCGAGCAGCAGCGGTTCCGCAGGGGAGACCGAAGTTTCCCCGGCGACTTCGGGAATAATTCGCCTAACGGACCGATACCTAACTTCCATCCCGGCAACGACAATCCCGGACGTTTCGTACCGCCGATAAATGAGCGTTTCGCCGGAGGAAACAATCGATTTGGTGGACCGGTGGGGAACGAGAGATTTCCACCGCCGAGTGACCGGCCATTTGCGCAGGATCATGACCGATTCGGCGGACTCGACCGGTTTAGCGGGGGTGAACGATTCGTGGGACCAGAAGCCGATAGATTCGCCAGGGGGAAAGAGCACAGATTCGATCGGCCGGACAACGAGCGATTCGGGCCGAACGATCGTTTCCCCGAGCGATTCCCCGATCTCAAGGATCGCTTTCCCCCAACTAACGATCGATTCGGGACCGGTGTGAACGAACACTTCGGTTCAAACGATCGCTTCGGCAGAAGCAACAACCCCGCGGACTGTTTCGACCCGAATGACGCGAACGATCATCGGCGAGATTCCTTCGGCAACAACTCCCGGGTCTTTGGTAGAAACCCAGGCTTCAGTCCGCCGAAGGAATTGCCACCGGAGCTGCGGAAACTCATGGAGAAGCGAAAGGCTGCCGGCGATGTGTTCAGACCCAGTTTCCTCTCGGACTCCGAGAAGACCAGTAGCGTCGGTTCTCTCAGCGAAAGCTTCAAGAAGATCGCCGGCGATTCGCCGTTCCGCAGCAGTTTCGACTTCCCGAAAACTCGGCCTGGACCAACGTCGGTGGGCGGCAGCTTTCCCTCCACTGTCGGCGGCAGATCAACACCGTCTCCGTTTCAGCCCCATTCGTTCGCTCCCGATTCCACGGCGCCGCCGTACGGCCATCATCCGCGAGGCGGCGGCGGTCTTCCCTTCAATAGCAATAACAATGAACCTCCAGCTTCGCTTATTCCTGCCTTCAGGCAAGCACCTTTCTCGGATAATTTCGCCAAACACGGTGGTCCCGCGAATTACAACGAACGGGGAATGGAGAAGGACGTGGAGAACAACCTGCCGACTCCGAATCAACAACAAGCCCAACCGGCCGATATCCAACCTCAGTCTTCTGCCGAGTATCATCCTGGAAATACCGGTGTCAACGTCGATCCCTCGAATAATCTGGAGACCGATAATGGTCCGAACACGAAGAACGTAGAAGTGACGCAACCGACGAACGAGACCGATAACGCAACCGTCGAACCAAAAGATGATCCGGTTATCGAAGATGCCTCGTCGAGGAAAAGTGACGATAACAGAGAAGGGGTCCCAGAGTCGGTCAATGACAGTAGTTTTCAGCAGCAACAACAGCATGCTGATAAAGAACAGGACAACAGTTGCGAAGAAAAGGAGAATGCGGAAAGCAACACCGGTAACGAAAACGAGAGCGTTCCACCTAAGAAGCCTGAGAGCTTACCCTTCATGGACGAGAATGATCCACGACCGGAGGATCTGAACATCGAGCCACCGCCGGAGCTGCCCAACCTGGGCCCCGTCCTGACTAGCCCGGAATCCGAGCCCCAGAACATCGCCAGGCCGTTCAACGAGGCTTCAGACGGGAAAGGACCACCAGCAGGTGGTGTCCAATTGCAGGACATACGATCTCGTGGAATAGAATTCCCCAAGATGGGCACAACCTTCAGGTTCCCAGGACCACCGCCGTTATTCCCCAGAGGGCCTCACGCCTTTCCGCCACCGAGGTACGGCGGTAACCCGCAACTGGGTCCTAACGACGAACAGTTTGGATCCAACGCGCCTGGCGACGCTGGACGATTCAGTCCCGGTAGGTCCGAAGATGAACAGTACACAGAGCGAGATCGTGCCGATGAATCACCTGGCGAGAATCCCCAACACCCCAACAGTGGACAATTCGGCCCTATGAACGAGCCATTTGGTGGTCCACGGGGCCCAATCGGAAAGTTCGGTCAAATCGGGCCGGGGAGAGTAGCCTTCGACTCACCATTCGCTCCCCGAAATCCCGGTCCGTTTGGGCCCAGGGGCAATATGCCATTCGGAGCGCGGGGAGGGTCCGGTGATACGCTTCGACATCCCAGCGACGGGCCGCAATTTAGTTTCTTAGGGCCTAACAACAATAACAACAGATTCGGCAGGCCGAACGAGCCATCGTTTGACAGCAGGCGGCCGCCTTTCGGCTTCCCAGACGTACGACCCAATGAGGGGCCAGGTTTTGGGCTCCGAGGACCTAACAGTAGCATGCTAGGTGGTCCTCGCGGCCCTCCTCCAGACACTTTCACTCAAGGACGTAGTCCGAAGGCTTTCAACGAGAACCGCTTTGACTCGCGAGATTTCAAAGAATCCGGCCCCTTCGGAGCGGACCTCAAGGACAGACCTCTCGCGGCTAGGGGCCCGATGGGTGATCCGAGTTACACGCGTGATTATGCGCACAGAAGCGGCCCCTTCGCCAAGAAAGAACCGTTCTTGGACGACAAGCGGCAGTTCGGCGGGAGTCCAGCGGCCAGGTCTGACGAGTCGTTCGATAGAAACGCGACGGACGCGGAGCCGCAAAAGGATATCGTCGAGTATACCAGACGCATGCCGCAAGACCCTTACAAGAAGGACTCGGACGACAACAGGGCGAGGGGCAAGTTCAACGATGACCAAGCTCAGTGCACAACGAGCACCGAGAGAAACCAGGCGAACGCGGCTCAGTTCGACGAGAGAACGGATCCGGATCGGCAGTCCAAGTTGCAAAGCAGTCCGAGTTCCAACTTGTTTACGAAACGGCCTCAGTCGATGTTGTCCGCAGGAAGCGGTGGCGGCAGCCCCGGTGAGTTCTGCGCGCCGCGGCAGTTCAACTACAATCACGGCGAGACCAGCGAGAAGGTCGTCGAGTACACACCGTCGAAAGTGATCGACTACGGGCACGTGTCCCGGCCGGCCGTCATCGATCAACACCTGTCATCGCCGGTTCAATGCTTCGATTACTCTCACGGCGACTCGAAGCCGGTGGAGTATCCTTGGGACCAGCCGAAGAGGGACTTGAAGAACTGGGTGGAGAACGAGCAGAGCATCAAGGATTACGCGGAGCAGATGAGGATTTGCCACGAGAACGCGAGGAAGGAGTACACCGGGGAGAAAGCGAGAAGCGGCGGCGGCTACGACAACTACGAGAAAAGCAGTTATGCGACACGCAAGCCGGATTACGCGAAGCAGCGGATGGTAAAGGAGCATCACATGGATTGGCAGCAGCAGCAGCAAACGAGCGACAGGAGATCCTGTGGAGAAAGAAGGGAGAGCGAGGATCGCAAGGAGAGATCGTACAACTCTCTCGAAGATCCGCGATTGTTCTTCGAGCGCGACTCGAGCGCGATCGACGGTCAGGGCGACCGAAACGTTCGTAGAGGTAATTGCATATTCGTTAAACCGCGCGTAGGCAGCTCGACGATCCTAACAAATCGTTCCTCGAGACTCACGACGGTTGTCTGTTAATCCGCGAATTAAAAGAAAAGAAAAGAAGGAAATAAAAGAAAAAGAGAAACGGCCAAGATACATTTCGCGTATTTGATCTCTGTTAAATACGAGCGCATTTCTCGCGTTAGAGAAAATTGCGAGAGAGGAAAATTTGTATCTCGCACGATACTTTGTATTTTGCATCTCTGACGTAACATACGTGGATTATTGTGAGGTATCGCGAGGTAACTGATAGCTTATGCCGAGTGTGTTTCGATGTATTTCATTGTGTTTGTTTTTTCGGGTAAGCAGAGCGGCCTCAAGAGACATGCGAGACTCCCCGAAGAGAAACGAATAAAGACAGTGATAAAGACGACAGCAGGTATAGTGGCAGATTAATTTTCATCTTAATTTTTATTTGGGACAGCGAGTGAAAGAGCACGCTTCCTCGTGCTTCATCCTTCGCGGAGTTCGCTTACGTTAAAGGAGGAGATTATCGAGTTGTGCGTGCCGAGTGTGTTCTAACGGAATATATTACTTTTATCATTATTAATATATTGAGCGAGAACACACTGTACAGCAACATTTCTTCTCCTCTGCGTAAAATTCTTCCGAAGAGGATCCTGGAATCGTCCTGTTTTACCGCAAATTTGTTAATTCTCGTTACTGGCTGCACAAAATTAAAAATCCTCTTGCACAATAATAATACATACGTTAATGTAGGTTTTATTTGAAAAACGAAAAAAGTTTTATAATTTGTTAATTTTTCTTCGTTTTTCGTGCATAGTCAACCAGTTTTCCTTACGTTAACGTGTGTATTGTAATTGTATAAGAAAACTGTTTTTAATTTTGTGCAGTCAGTAACGAATATAGTTTTAAGAAATTTGTGGTTAAACAAGACGACTCCGGGATCCTCTTAAGGGGATAGAAAGGTTTGATTTTGTGGAAAATTGGTGACATTTGATGAGCATATGGGAGTTAATTAATTATTGAATATAAAATCCTTCGGTAGTAGGCTATTTATACTCTATATTAGCGATAAAAACATGTTTACGAAATTGAAAAATATTCATATTCAATTAATTCCTGTATCTATAGCCAAATTCAAATTTGACCGAATTTTCACAAATTTTTACTACCCCCTCAAAAAGGAAAGAGCGCGCGAGCGAATGTCGCTTTCACTTGCTACTGACTGAGATCTTCGGTACTTGGAAGATCTCACGCACGATCGAAAATCGCAAAGAGATTATGAACGATCTCGCATCTGCTCTGAACATACGTATATGGCATTCTTCAGATCGAAAGGAAGTGTTAATTGGCAGGAGAACTCGAACAAGAACACCGTAGACGCAAAGCTCACGGACGTCAGGTACGTGTTGTATTTCACTTCTCGAGTTTATCGTAGAAGTTGGTGTGATCTAAAGCAATTTACCGGATGAATTTGAACTGCATACCGCACACAGATGCGCAGGTGCATCCGAGATGTGCAATTGTTCTCTTCTCAAATGCGACTGCCTTTTCTTTCACATCAATCGAATCTTACTGCCACTCTACATGTGGAAGTATCGATACTTTCGCATGTGGAATTACGGGGTGGAATCGATTTGTGTGAAAAATATATATTTTGTTTTGTAAGAAAGGAATTTGAATATTTTTCTTGGAAAGTTGAAAGATGATTATATTTTAAGTCTTCTCTCCTGACATGTGATTCGAATGGAAATTGTGATTTTTCTACGCCAAACAATATTGCGATCCTCGTGTGAACTTGGAAAAGTTCATGTATAATATTCTTTTTACAATGGAAAAAAATGCTTAATGATGTTACTTATATTACGATTCTTACACGTATACGTGTATAATCTGTCGTTGATAATTTTATTAAATTATCGATACTTTGATAATTTTGTCAAATGCGTACTTCTCTAAGTACGTTTTTGTACTTATATATTTTTACACACGTGCATATGTGTATTATATTGCACAAAGAAATCTGAAAATATTATATTTGAGGTATTTATACGTGCTCTATTTTAATGAAAATCTTCAAGATTCAACATGACTCAATTTTCGAGGTACTTCATTCTATTTTAATCTTACGATATTTGTGAGTGAAGAATTTGTTCACTCTATCATTTCAGAGATAATTTTATATCAAAGAGAAAAAAGTGTTTTGCTACGCGAAAAATATTCGCTACGTTGATACAAATAAAAAGTTATGCAAATCTTTACAAAGACGTTTTTGCGATGGTGTTTTTTTTTTTCATTTTTGATGTAAAATTATCCCAAAGAAGGTGACAGACTATATGAATATTTCTATTTACTGTGTGTGTTTGTCTTGTCTCCTATATAACCATCGAGATATTTTGCGAATTAATTTTTTGCTCCTTTTGCCGAAAACTATCAGATTACAGTGGTTTTCCGGTATATTTTGTAGCAATGCATCCATCACCTCTGGGGATGAAGCATTCTTTTCTAATGTTTTATTATTGCTCGCAACATACAATTTGATATTATGCAACATTGATTTTGCGTACAGTATTTACCCTATTTATATACATAAGTTTTTCATACTTATATGATACTTGACACAATAATTTAGGTTTTTGTATTATCTCACTTCGAAGTGTTATCGTGCCGATTCGAAGTTCCATTGTACTTATAGATTATATTTATTTGCGTTTTCTATTATCTGTGGGTATTCTTACAAAGAGGTCATATATAGTGTGGTGCATTTAACTAGAGACACCTTAATATAATAAAAATAAAGTAAATTAGAAAGAAACGTTTTAGACAAAAGTTGTAGGATTTGGAGAGGGACATGGTGAACTTAACTTCGTTGTATTGTCAATAATTCAAGGTCATTTCAAGGTTAGCTTAATTTTTTTTATGGAATTATATAGTTTTTTTTTAGTACAAATCGATTTCTCTTTTCATTTTGCGTATAAAAATATTAGGATGAGATTATAGGAAAACGAATACTTTGTGAGATATTTTACTTTTTATTCTAATATTTTTCAGCATAAGGTATGAAATATATCATAAACTATTCACTTTTCGATAATATCATCTTAATACTTTTCTATATGATAATATGAGGAAAATCGAGGTCGAAGTTGACCTTGAAACGACCTTGAATTATTAACAATACAACGAAGTTAAGGTCGCCAAAATATGTCCCCCTCCAAATCCTACAATTTTCATCTGAAACATTTATAAAATTTTTATTATTTTATATTAAGGTGTCTCAATTTAAATACACTCTGTATATAATTAATGTTAATTCATATTATATATTGGATTGACCAGAAAGTTTGTTTGTCTTGATTTTTGTTTATCGATAGAAGACTCTTATGGACAAAAGGAATGTGCGACTTCTGTGATCGATCCAATATAATATAATTCGTCCGTTATTGCAAGGCATTTTTTTCACATTAACGAAATTTTTGTTACAGTCTTCTGGACACAAAGAAAAATGTGGAATCGACGACTGTCCCGAAGACGCTGGAATTGGCGAAAATTCCAAACTGTACGATGGTTGACGACCTGCTGTGTCCGCCAGGTCGCCAGAGCCGACCACCAAAGATAGCAATTATTCTTAGAGGGCCACCTGGCAGTGGCAAATCTTTCGTTGCTAAACTTATCAAGGTATAATGTGTGTTACATAGATGTTACAGTTAATTAATTATTGATTTTTATTGAAATTATATTCGAGTAATCTCTTATGAGTTACTAATCTAATCTATGAATTGTTGGAAACATTAGCTAGTTTTACACACGTAATATTTTGTAAAATCTAGAGTGCAAAGATTTATGAAATATTGTTTTAAAAATATTTATACGCGCTTTGCTCATTTTAGAAGAAACCTTTAGTTTTAGCTGTATAATAATCTTTTTTGTAAAATTTATCTAATTGGTTGTAATTTTTATCTTTATAGGATAAGGAAGTTGAACAAGGAGGTTCCGCGCCTAGGATATTGAGCCTGGATGATTATTTCCTTGTCGAGAAAGAAATAGAGACGAAGGACGATAATGGAAAGAAGGTGACGGTTAAGGTAATTATATTTAAAACTCTCCATTAGTGGATTTGTTATATTAAGTATTTTGTAGCGGATTAATATTTTGACGATGTATATTGATTTCTAACAGGAAATGGTATATGAATACGAAGAGGCAATGGAACAAAGTTACATAACGTCACTCGTTAAAGCGTTCAAGAAAAACATCACCGATGGATTCTTCAATTTTATCATATTGGATTGTATCAATGAGAAGATTTCAGATTACGAGGAGATGTGGAGTTTCGCTAAGACGAAAGGTTTCAAAGTATGTTACCATTTGATAACATGTTAAACGAGGAGAATATATATATACATACATATATACATACATACATATACAAGGTGAATCACGTGATCAGCTTAGTTTATTATGCTGTTAGTGGACCGCTTGAAAATTTGTTGTCTAGTATAACGTGGTTTGAGGTGAGCTTTAAAATCATATATACGAGGGCAATTTGAAAAGTTCGCAACCCAATAATGAAAAATTGATTGATTTTTCCTTCCATTTTTATTTTTCAATATAATCTCCCTGTACTTCAATACACTTGATCCAGCGATGCTGCAGTGCTTTTAAAAGATTTTCAACATAAGCACCGAATTTTTCTATTTCTCCTTTTTCATCACTTATTTTCTTATTTTTGTAAATGAAACTTCTGAAAATGCCAAAGAAATTACAGTTTTAAACTTTAAGTAAAACCATAATAATTGTTATTTATAATAATTATAAATTTATTTAACCATTGTTCATTAATTATTATTAATTAACTATTATTTGATAAAAGTAACTCATAATGGAAATAAAATGTTAAACAATATGCTGAAATGAATCATAGTAAGTTACGTATATGCTCGCATGAAAATCAAAATGACCAAAGAAGTAGAACAATTACTATTTGTAGCTCAGATTTTCGACTATTATTTCGACGCTACTTTGCCAGATCCAAGAGTAAACGGTGAAGGGAAGATACTGAAAGCGCTAGCGTCGCAAACAAAAACGAAACTAAGAAACATTCATTTATTCATATATCTGGGTTAGTTTGAAGGCCATGGCACATATTCGTTGAAATCCTAGTTACTTCTGCTCAAAGCCAAACTTATCGTCACTTCTATCGTCTTTTGGAATACGTAAACCTAAAGAAATATATTGATTGGTTCGTTAACGTCCTTATTACTTAAGTTTTACTGCTTACGTTTTTCTATGTGCCACGGCCTTGATTGACCCTCACGTACGGACGTCCATTTATAGGTTAATATCAATTTATAGAAAAACAAATGGTCAATAATCTTATAATTGTTTTATAATATTTCTACAAATCTCTTATTATTTTCTTGTTTTCGCATTAAAAGCGTAAGAGTAGTTTGGTTGCTAAAATTTAAAACATCATATTATCAGAAACTATTTCCGTTGTGATACTGTGATACATGTAGATAATGTTAAGTTTGACTTTAATCATATTTAGCTTTGGTACGGTTAATCTATTTCCCATATAGCGGAAATGCCCAAAATATATCATAAAAATATCGTGATATCTTTAGGATATTCCTATGATTTTTGACATCGCTGCTATGTGAATTCTAATTGTACATAGTGTAAATCATGTTTCAATTAATATTTTATTAGAATTTGTAATGATTCCTAAGAAAATAAGTTTATATCAATCATCTTGAGGCATATGTAACGCGCGCGCGCGCGCGCGCGTGTGTGTGTGTGTGTGTGTGCACACACACAATATGTCCCAGATCAATGTGGATAAACTTAATAAAGGTGTGAGTGGATTCAAGTGAACAAAAAATCTCCACCATTTTGCAAACAATACACACAAAATTTTGAATTATTAATTATTGAAAGTGGCTATACGTATAGAGGCTTCTTTAATTAATAACTCGAAATTTTGCGTATTATTTACAAAATGATAGAGGACTTTTTTGCTTACCTCCAATCCATTCTATACCCTAATTAGGTTTGCCCATGTTGATTCATGGGACATTTATTTATCTGTTATCATAACAACGAAAACAAGAAATCGTGATACATGAATCTGTCTTACTATAATCCATATATAGAGGGCAGGCATAACTATTGGCCTGTTCTTTTTAGCTGCATTAGTGCGATAAGTTGTAATATGAAAACTAATGAAACAAGTATAGGTTTTCTCACTTCAACTTATTCCACCAGTTCAGCAGTGCAACTAAAAAGAACAGGCCAAACAACTCGTGTGATGCGACAAAGAAAAATGCACATTCGCTCATTTTCGCGTGCAGTCATAATGCTCTTTGACCAGCTCCGTCGTAGTAGAGTTAATCATTCAAAAGGAAGATTTCCAGCGAACTAAATTTAAAAAAAAGGTATCTTAAAAGGAGGACTTTCGGCGAACTAAATTAAAAAAAAATATCTCGATTATAAGATTGATTTTCAAATATTCCATACAATAGATTCGCGAACGTGATATTGAATCACACTTCGTACACAGACAGGCATAATAACATTTTAACGCGTGTAATTAGGTTACTGGTTACTGATACTTAATCGTACACGTTTATTTTTGGATATCAGCGTAAAGTTGACACAGCGATAGATTATTCCTTTAACACATCGTTCCCACCTCTTTGAATAATTAATAAATAAGGGTGTAAGTCAATAATATATATTAGAATATTTTAATAATAATAATTTAATAATAAGTCAATAATATATATTAGAATATTTTAATAACGTTGTTGTACATGATGTATTAAGATTATTACACTAGTCTATATACGTCTGTGTAACGACCTTTTCTCAATTAATACACGATATCTGTGTACAGGTGTATGTGTGTGAGATGGAGATGGACCTGCAGATATGCTTGAAGAGAAATATTCACAACCGCACGGAGGACGAAATCAATCGGATCATAGATTATTTCGAGCCGACACCCAGCTATCACCTGAAACTAGATGTCAATTCAATGTTACAGGAACAAGCCATAGAAGAGGTACTTTTATTTTGTTTAAAGTTAGCGGTCCTTATTATCTTTGTCATACATAGTACAGGACATGCGTTAATATATGTGCAAACTTATGTTTTTATTTTAGGTCGATATGGAAGACAGTCAGCAAGAGATAGAGGAGAAATCTGCCACACAAAATGAAGACAGTCAAGACAGCCAGGAGGATACTCAGGATGCAATTGTAACTAAACAAAATTAAGTTATTCGAATGTCACTTATTGAAATGATAAAAAGATAAAATAGATCAATAGATAAATGATTCTATCTAAATCTTTATATCATAGAGTCCCTATTCTCTACATTTTCATTTTTCTTTGTGATACATATTGTACGATTAAAAAAGTATGTTCTTCTTCAACCATTAACTATTATTATATATACTTTACTATTGTATTTTAATTTTATCAAATTTAACAAAAGTGAACTTTACATGAAATCAGCAGAAAAATGTAGATTTATACTGTTGATAACATATTGATTGTAGATGATTTTAAATATTTATTGATAATTCTTTCAGGGTGTTAGCAAATGGGAACAAATGGAAGCTGAAAATAAATTAGGTTAGTTGGAAGTAACTTAACTTTTTTTCTTGAGAATTGAAAAGTATTTTCACTTTTTTTTTTATTCATAATATATAGATCGGTTGGATGGATTAGCGAGAAAGAAGGAGACGAGACCACAAACCATGGAAGATTTTCTTCAAGTACCCGATTACTATAATATGGAAGATACTTCTGGTAAAAAGCGGGTATGTATCTGAATATAGAATGTCCCATAAGCATTGGGGGCATATCTTCATAATTACCTTTAGTCTTCAAACAATTTTGAAAATATCGTTTTCGGATTTATTATTGATTGCGTTCAATAGAGAGTTTTATAACTGTTGTAAAATTCGTGAATTTGATTGATATATGCTTTTAAATTCAACCAAGATTAAAAGCATACATTAATCAGATTTATGTACATGAGCATACATGCATTCACATTCAATTTTACAGTTCTAAAGCTCTCTCTCTCTCTCTCTCTCTCTCTCTCTCTCTCTCTCTCTCTCTCTCTCTCTCTCTNAGGAAAGTAGGGGAAAGCAGAAGAATTGCAAGGAAGTTTATTAGCCGTTTATTCCGACCACTTGCACTAGTAGTGCACATTAAATACGGTCTAAAGCTTGTTTATAGCTCTTTCTCATATTTAAAGATTGTTTTAAACATGATATAACTCAACCATTGCCTTATAAACGCACTCAGTGCATTAATTGTCTTGCTTTGCAGGTACGATGGGCCGATTTAGAGGAGCGTAAGGAGCAGGAGAAAATGCGCGCCGTCGGCTTTGTGGTTGGTCATACCAATTGGGATCGCATGATGGACCCCACGCAAGGCGAAAGTGCCTTGACGCGGACAAAGTACATATAATTCAAGTTACCCACTTCTATCAATAGTATTGGTATATAACTGTTATTCATTATATCGTTACATAAACTACCATCGAAAAATATTTGTTGCGTTAGCGTTAGCTAAATTGTTCATCTAGCGTCAAACCTTGTCTAATTCGTATTTTTAAGAAAAAGAATACATAGAAAATTAGGATGAAGAATGAAACTTTAGGATGTAAACATTACATTCTATATAATGCATATAAAACATGAATTAACATCGTACGTTAATATTATATGTTGATGTTGTTTGTCGCCCATATACTTAGGTGGCGAGTGAGCTTCCGCAGAGACGGAAACACTATTTGTGGATTGACGGTTTTATTCCCCTGATGAAGAATAATTTTACTAATTATTTAGAACAATATATATATATATATATTTTTTTTTTTTTTTTTTTTTTTTTNGGAAATCAATTATCAACACAGTATACTGAAAAGCTTTGAGCCCAGAACTCATATGTGAATTCAGCATGTTGATTATCTAATTGTTATCATTACATATTAATTTTTTTTACATTGTAAAAAATCTTATCGAGAGAATGTGTTCCTCTAAAAAGAAGCTAAAAAATATATATCCAATTTGACATATGAACATGTTTACTGTATTTTGTAATTACAGTAACCATTACCCCATACTATTGCACTATCTACCCTTAGTTGGACTTATCCTCAAGAAGACCTTGTATATAATACGCTAAAGTAACCCACACAACATAACGTGTAAAACCGGGACATAAGACGCCTGACAAACGTCCTTAAATCGTCTCAAAGACGTCTGTCAGATGTCTTATGTCCCGACTTTAGGCATTATGTTTTCTGAGAAACAAACAATAAGCGATTTTTTAATAATAAGAACCATAATGATATATGTATATATATATATATCATATATATATATATATATATATACATAAATTAGTTATATGTAACTAATTTCTTGAATTGTAAGTAATAATTCTCAAAGTATGTGTTCTTAATACGTTCTCTATCGTGGTTTTTTTTTTAGGGAACTCTCCCCACAGACCACATTGTATTTATTTTGATATAATTGTATAAAATTGATTTAAGACGGCAAGGTTTGTTAGACACTTCAAAGCATTCTAAACTATACAACTATACATCTGAAAATTTTATATGAAACCTTTGTATGAAACCTTTCTTAGAATCCGTGGTGTGCAAGTAGCACGAATGAAACTAGACAGGAGAATTCTATACCATTTTGCAAAATTCGCAATAATTATTAAGGAATTAATTTGTATGAACTAATGATTGTACAGGAAACGGTAGATCGGACTCTGTATAAAGAAAAATGGCTTACTTTTGAAGGTGTCCTAACAACGATGGGTATCAACTAATAGCGAAAGACGTATTTCTTTTCGGCGCGCAGTCCTATGTCACATACCATTCGCTGTTCGCTGCGTTACTCTGTCTCTAAAAATCAGTTTATGCTCATAGTTACTAAGCCATCTTTAGAAGTAAGCTATTTTTCTTTATATAGAGTTCGGTCTACTGTTTGTTGTGCGATCATTAGCTCATACAGATTAATAAATTTTTCATTAATTATTGTGAATTTTGCAAATGATATTTCTGTCCAGGTTCACCTTTTGTTCTATCTGCATACCACGGGTTCCGAGAAAAGTTTCAGACACCCTGTATATAATAGTGTATAATAGCGTCATCATCAAACTCAGGCTATATTTCAAAACGTTCTTCTCGAGGAAAATTTTACTTGGTGGCTGTTCCAAAACTTGATAAGAATTTCTGATCTCCGGAAGAAGAACCAATCGAAAAACACTTATAAAGTTTTGAAACAGCCATTGAGTAAAGTTTTTTTCAAAAAAATGTTTTGGAACGTAGCCTCAGTGTATACAAAAACGCCTTGAAACATTTGCAACTGTTTATATTTATGAATAGAGGAAAAAAAATTATTTTTGTCACATAAGTATATTAGTAACCAACTATACGTAGCGAGCGTGTTAGTTCCTAAAAATTCTCAACTAGCCGCACCTGTTTCTGGCTACGTGTTTTTCATCATCTTTGATTAATTGAGAAAAAGGGAATATGTTTGAAGCAGAAGTGATATTTCGACGTTTCATGTATTAATAAACAGAGTTCTTCGCTCACGTGTAACGCGTAATCAGCAGAAAAGCAAGGATATTATGGACAAATATATAAGAGAGGTTGATATTTAAAACATATATGTATGTATTTATTTATTTATTTATATAATTCATATATAAAAATATATTCAGGTAAGAAGTTGGAGAAAAACTTAATATCGGGGATTCAAAAATATTGAAGTGCCCTTATTGGTAGGAACGTTCAACAATTTTCCGAGTTTCATTTATGTATACAGAACAGCTTTTTAATTCTGTTCTGCATTCAAAGGGTTTAAATCAAGTTACAACATGTACACTTGATAGGTAAATCAAGTTTGGATGTGATCCGAATATATTTTTTAGTATTTTCTTCTAAGTGTCCTAAATCCAAGTACAGATTTTTAAACTGTTTTACAGTATTATTATTCATATCATATTTAGAGAATTTTATGCACTTGGATTGTTCTTTTACCTTTATAAAGTATTTTATAAAAATTTTATTGGTATGCAGTATTATGCAAACTGCTCTTGATATCTTCTTAGCAACTTTAAGTCTAGTCTAGAGTACAATGCATCTTATAAAATTTCAGCAATAATAAAATGTGCTCTATCTTATATTTATGATTATTTACACTGCACTCCCCCCGTTATTTATTCTGCGTCGGTCGAAATTTATCAATTCAATTGTTTGAACAGAAAGGACAATATATTATTTGTAGAATATTCAGATTTTTTAATCTCTTATCGTTTATTTATAACTCTGAGATTATTGATATTTCTATCATGTATAAATAAAATTTTCCAATACATGTTTACTCTTATCAAAATTTTTCGATTACTTGTATTTACGTATTCGCACATACTGACTATTAAGTAATCGAAGAAATATCGCAACGAAATCTCAAATATTATTCCGAGTAGCATAAAGTGTAGAGTAATCATAAAATGAAACAGAATTATATGTAAAAGAATATGTAAAGCCTCATCATTTTCTTGAATAATCATCCGTCATGATGCACGAATATATAAACATGATGCTTATGATAGAATAAACGATTTTAGATCTGCTAAATGTTAAAGCTCCTGACTACTTGCCGTGGCTATCTTTGTTTAATGACGTCAGAAACGAAAAAATGTATGCCAAGATTTCTTACATTATATTTTCAAATAAAAATATATAACCACAAAATGTCACTTTATGGATATATTTTTTTATTTGAAAGTATAACGCAAGAAATCTTAGCATGCGTCTTCTCGCTTCTGACGTCATTAAGCAAGAGCAGTCATAGCGAGTAATCAAGAGTCATAAGACAATTATGCCAGTCTGTGTAGATTCATAAACGTTTACAATATTTTTTCTCTTATAGTTTATTGTTTATAATTCGGTAATTATAACTTATCTATCAATCGCAATTATTTAAATTCTTATTAAATAGAAACAATACGTAATTTATAGTTATTCACAATATTCTTGATTTCTTATCGTTATTGTAACTTTCTATTTCTTATCGTAATTTGTAACTTTCTAAAATTATCGATGACTCTATAGTGTGTGGAAGAGAAAAAATGGAAAGAATTTATAAAAATACTCTTACGGACGCGTGATTGCTTTAAACAGAAAATTATATATATATATTCTGTTGCGAGTAATATTTTGAACGTTCAGGTACCGAACAAATGTCTGTAAAAAAAAAAAAAAAAGGTACATGCCGTTTAAAAATTATCTTAAATAGTCCATTTAAGTAAAAAAAATATAAGTATTGATAGAAAGTATCTGTACAGTTTTTTAATAGTTTCATAATAGAATCAACAGAAAATATAGCATCTTTCACGTTTGCAATTTAACTGAGGTATCTTAATTATGATCTCTTCGTCTGGGTATGTGGTAATCTGTGATTTTTAATTTTTTAGATTTTGATTCATCTATTTGCCGGTTATCCGTGTCGTCATCGCTACTAAGTATACAACGTCTTTTCTTCGATTTTCGCTCGGGAAAAGTATCGATATCACGAGAATCCAGTTCGGTTGAGTCTTTCGCAAAATTTGATAGTCTCTCTCGTACAGTGACGGTACTAATTTCCTTAAGATTCACTGAAAAATATAAAGTAAAATGAAATAGAAATTACAGCGTGTTTCCGAATAATTAAGGTTTCGGAGTAGTCGCTGTGACTGTCGTGCTTTGACTGTCCTTGTTTAATGACGTTAGAAAACGCATGCTAACATTTTTTGCGTTATATTTTCAAATAAAAAGATATATCTATAAAATGACGTTTGTGATCGATTCAGCAAACTTGTAAAATTGGACGAACACTTTTCTTTTACTCGAACAATCAATTAATAGTCGTAAAATTAATTTGACATAGACCTTCTTTTCTCATGATTTTGTCAATATTAATTTTACGACCACTGTTGGATGTTATTGTCGATCGATCGATCGAAAATGTTATTTTATGGATACATCTTTTTATCTGAAAGTGTAACGCAAAACATTTTTGCAGGTGTTTTTTCATTTCTGACGTTATTAACACGTTGACTGCCACGGAACTTTTCACGATTCTGGTCTAAGAAGCCAATTTGATATTTAATCAAGTAATGAAGCGACGAAATAACTCACAGTTGGCGTCCTGGGCAAATAAACAACTTACGAGATATGTCGTAGTTGGCAGTCAACGTGTTAAACAAGGATAGTCACAGCAACTACACCGGAGCCTTAAATAAAATTAAAAAAGGATAGGTTGTAGAAGTGCGTTAAAAGTCATGCATTCTCCGCGGAAGGTAATTTATATAACGACTTAATTTCATTTTTATATTTATATATTATATTTATACTTTTTTATATTTATCTCAGACGAATTTATATTTAGATCTTGAATGACAAATAAATAAAATGCGTGCTTTGACTCGAAGTTATATTTTTTTATAGAAACATTTTTTAATCTTTACGATAAATTCTTAACAGAAAAAAAAACCTGTTATCGCAAGGTACAAACCTATCTTGTAAGGTTTCCGTCGTTTGCCGGTGGCGAAGATACAAGTCACAGTGTTTACTTGATTGTGCACAACTCCGAACTTGCTTTTACCGAATCTAATCGTGTTCTCTTTCAGAATCATCCGTTGACCTTGCAAATTGCATTGTAGTACCTACAGAATAATTTACGAGAAATTATTCATGGACATAACTTAATCGCGCAAAATAATTTAACTCGATCAAATAATTAGTCGGTAATGAATAAATTGATGCTGTCATACTTTGTTAGGAATATTCAAAATAAAAGCCTCCTCGTCCTCGGAGATATCCGCCAGCGTAATGCTCGCCGGTAGCGTTTCCACGAGTAACTCTTCGTCCTCGGCAAATTCTCCCAACTGAAACGTATTGAACGTTAAATTACGTTAATTACGGAACGGGAATTGGTACTGGCAATTCTCATTATTATTTATCGATCAGCTTGATCTGAATCTGATGAGGTAAGCTAAAACGTTCTTCTGAACGTCTGGGCTCTCTGAAAGTAACTCGTTGCTCTCCAAGCCCGCTTCGCAGCCCTGCTAAGATGACAATTCGAATATCACTTACATTGCGCGGCCTGTAACACACATTTTGCGTCTCACGCTCGCCACTGTTCGCTCTATCCTGACGTTGGCTATCCCCGTTCGCGTTCCCGCCATCCGTCGAAGCAGGTCCTTCCCTGTGCCTTTCCTCGGAAGCAGAATTTCTCTCGTCACTCCCGAATCTCTCTTCTGCGCTCGCCTCCTCGCGATTATCCTTGTCGTGCGAAATGTCTATGCCGCTTTCTTCGGACGCGCGACTTCTCTCATCGTTCTCGAGCTTCTTTCTCTGCTGTTCGCGAAGACACTCGCGGCTATCTTCGCTGCGCGAAGTATCATTTTCCTCAGAAGCGTCTTTTTCAAGCGATGCGCGAGCATCTTTGCAAGCGGCATCGCTGTGTGAGGTGTCGACGTCGATTTTCCCAGAAGCGCCGTCTCCAATCCTCTGGTTGTCTTTGCTGCAGTTTCCTTCGACACGGTGGCTCGAGTTAGAATCGTCCGCGTGGACGATCTTGGAGCTGTGTCCAACGGCCGGTCTGTCCTCGCTCTCACTTTCGCTCGAGTTGCTATCCACGATCAGGTTTAACTGCCGCTGAAGTTGCTGCTTCGTTTGCGGCGACACGCAGCGCGCCGCGTCTTCCTCCTCCTCCTCGTCCTCCTCGTGGCTCACCACTTGTTGTGCGATTGGTATCTCATTGGTCATTTCGGCGCACGCATCGGTACCGGTGACGTTCACGTTGTCACTCTTTTCGGTCACTATTCTATATCTCGTGTTGACGATCTCGGTGGACATAATTTTAAGCTGCTTCTCCTGGACATTGCACGAGTCTTCCGCGATGCCGTCCATTCCGTTTGCCTTCACATCTCCCGCGTCAGTCTGGCTCGTTTCGGGAGAATCATCCGTCTCTGGCACCCGCGCTTTTCGAACCTGCGTTGCTTCTATATTGTGAACAATATCCTGTTCTTCCAAACTATCTTCCTTAACTTTTAAACTTATATCATTGGTATGATTTTCTCGCATCTCTTCAGCCATTTCGTTGGTTTCCTCGTGTTCAGGCGAAACGGAGGTTTTTTCCACGATGTTCTCCGCGTTATCTGACTTCTCCGTGGCGAGTCGCTTGACAAATTTATCCTGTGAATCTTCATCGATTCCAGAGTCTTTCTGCTGGTCGTGCGAGGCGTCTGGCGACGAAGAGGACTGATGAGGGCAATTAACAGTGTCCAATGTAAAGGCTAAGTTCCTCTTGATGTTGTCGACTGATCTAGCGGTCTGAGGACTCACACAACCGTCGTCGTAATTCTTCGCGCTTATCGAGACCTGCTCTTCCACTTTTGCTGGTTCCTCGCAACTACGATCTTCCGATAAGCTCGGCAATCTCTCGCTGACCGATGAAGGCGGATCGTTGATAAGTGACGAATGAGGGACCTTTAAAACAGACAATTTAGGTGTAATCGTTTCGTTATTCGGACTAAATTGTAAATTCAGCGAATAATTCGATTCGTCCGCTATTACCTTAAGTTCTTCCTGTATTACAGTTTCTTCTTCAGGATTCGCTTTACAGGCTACCGCATCGTCTTGACAATTCGACTCAAAATTAGTCTCATTCGCTGTTGCTTTAGAATCTCCTTGGTTTTGCGTCGCATCTTTATCATCTATAGACTCGACTTTGCAAGACGTTATGTTATTTGGAGAGTCTGACTCAGAATCTGATTCGGCTACCACAGTAAGCGGATCAGTATGGTTCTGTGGGATATCTTTACTCACCAAGTTTGCTGTACAGGACATTATATTATCTTGGGATTCGAAGTATGGAGAAAGAGATCTCTTATTAGAATCGGTTTTCGAATGATTACATTTGCCATTCTGAGAGGTATTTTGTTTACTCATATTCGAAGTACCCGTGCATTGTCCAATATCAGATATACGTGTCGTACTTCTGTTCTTCTTTGACAAGACAACGTCTTGCCAACCTATGTTCACAGATTTTCTGGTCTTTTTCTCTGATGGTTTGGTTTTATTATGTTTCCTTCTCTTCAATATCATCTGATTCTCCTTCTCATTATTATTAACATTGTCATCGTCAGTAAATAATGATTGAGAAGTAAAATTCTCTTCCCATTCTGTACTTATAGGTGTCTTTGTGCTTTCCCCTACAGATTTTGTTTCACTACTCTTCGTCTTCCTCAGTCCTTGACTTTTCCTTTTGTCATTGCGATTTTTATCGCTAGTAAAGGATACCTGAGAGAGAGAATTTTCTTGTTGCTCTATACTTACAGATTTTTTTATCTTTTTCTTCACAGGTTTTATTCTGTTATTCTCCATCTTCCTGTCACTATCATTTTCATCGCTATTAAAACATACCTGGGATAAAGAATCTTCTTCTTGTTTTATATTTACAGGTTTCTCGGCCTTTTTTTCCACAGATTTGGCTTTACCATTCTTTTTCATCTTACTCATTACTTTATTTATTTCCTCGTCTTCATCGCTACTAAGTTTTATGATAGAATCCTTTCTTCTATATTCATTTAGTTTGGATTCAGAATTGTGTATAATACTATAGTCAACATCACTGAGGTTGTCAGTATCATCGGTGTCACAATCATTCGACACTTTCCGTAAAACGGAGGTTTTCATTGCAACGTACTGCTCATAATTCTTAATGACGCCGTATTTCTTTACCTTGCTATTAAATAACTTTGTTCTCTTACGTACCCTCTGTGATGATAGGAATTTGTGAGTTAACGAGTTGTCGATCATTCTGCATGCGACGGCATTTTGGACGACCTTCCAAGTGATATTCTCGTGAGAACACATGATGCTTATAATTGTTTACTTATACTAAATAACGAAAAATAAATTGATGAAAATGGCGTCCACGTGCACGGTCTTCTTATGCTAAACACAGAGAATCTGATTTAACCTCACTTAACCGTTTCAATCTTCACGTGTTATCACTCTTTCTCCCTCTCTCAGTTCTGATTGAGAGTAATCAACTTGCTCCCTACACCATTCCTCGAAACTACGCGTTCCCGCGTGCAAAGCTTGATTCGAGCTATATTCTAAAATCCACTTCCAGCACTGAAAATCTATGGTGCATCGGTTTGTTCTTTAATAACAGAGTTGGTTTCACTAGGGTTGCGTTCGGGAATTCACATCGTGTGCACACTAACACGCTAGCCATTCAGAAATATTCAAACCCGTATCAGACTACGGATTGGAGATCGAGATTGAATTGCAATTTGACCAATCAGTGTAAAATTCTCTAAATTTCACTAAACTTGAATTCAATTAACTTTCTACTCATTGGTTAAATTTCAATTCAATCTCAATCTTCAATCCATAGTCTGATACGGGTTTTAACACGTTAACTGCCACGCGCATTTCGGAGGAAATCTCCGTCAGGTCAAATCCATTAAAATTTGTTGATAAGAAATATTTAAGTATATTAATTATACGATCCTGAAATTACTTATTAAACTAGGTAATTTTTTTAGTTTTATATAGTACTTTATACTGTCAGTCACCGGTGACTGACGTGGCCCGAACGGATAGTTCAGTTTCAGTCACTGATGACTGACGTGGCAGTTAACGTGTTAAACATTTTCATAATTTGCTCATTGGTGCTTTCTATTTGATGACACAAGTTGACGCAAATATCATTTAGTCTTTGTTTCGCATTCAATGAATTAACAAAGATAAGATGATGCTTGTGTCAACTTGTGTTACCAAACGGAAAGCACCGCATTTTAGTTAGGTCCTATTCGAGTCCAAATGTAGATAGCGCCAAAAGGAACGCTCTCTTTCAAGGAGCGAATTTGTACCTCTTAAAGTCCCTACAATATAAACTGCCCAAAAAATGGCGTCTATAGGTCTGTGCGTTTTCTGCTGCACTTCTGCATGTAAACTGAAAGTGCATTAAACGAAAAGTTCACTGCATTTATCAAACCTTGGCTGCGTTCAGCAGAATGTTTAGTTTGCAACTGTCGGAAGTTTTCTGACCTTGGATTGTTCCAATCTGAGATTGGATTATTCCTGTAGATCTAAAAGAATAATCCAACCTCACCTCAGAAAAACTTCAACCGTTGCAAACTAAACGTTCTGGTGAACGCGGCCATTACTTCCGCCATTTTGTTTGTCCCAATAGAAAGAAGTCTATATATTGCCGAACTCAATATTCTAGAGACTCTAGTACTTCCCAAATAGAAGCGCTCTATGGTTGCGTTCTTTTAGGGGCTTACGCGCTATAAGCGTTATTGTATCTTTATTGTTATTATATGCCAAAAGAAAATAAAGTGACGCTCGCGTGGTTGCACGTGACTGCGCATGGGCACCAAAGAGAAAGTAGCCTATATATATTTTTGACTTTTTGTGACACAAAGCAGCGTCGAGTGCAACGTGAGTTTTATCTATCACACTTGCTGATTTCTTGTTGCAAAATGAGTCAATTGGATTCATCTTATAATGGTAAGTTCTATGTAAATCTATTTTGATGTACTAAACAGTTACATACATTTATCGGGTATATTTCTTTTATGAATAAAGTTATTTACATCGATTATTTAATACGCCTTTCTATTAATTTTCCATTAATTATCTTAATTTCAGCATCCCAGGTAGCACAGCTACGTCAGAGAACGCCGTATATGACATCCCTTGATGTCATTGTGTTACCTAGGATGCGTAACGAAAACGATATATATTCCAATGGTACTTACGTCCATTTGACGCTGACTATTATATTAGTTAAGTGTACCGTTGTTTATATTGTCAATATTAAGATAATTTAATAGAAAATTTCGATTCAGTATGTATATCAATCAGTGTAAACTCACACAATAACGAAACAAAGTACATACTATATTTAAGGTATCTACTCTTTTTATCTATCATCTTTTTATCTATCTTTTTGCCACTTTCCAAGTAATTGTCTAATTTCAATGGAATCCATTAGTAATCCAGTATATATATATATTATTATTTTATAATTTTGCTATATTTATTCTCTTTTTATTCACACTTTTTATTCTTCCGATAAGCTAGAAAATATTCAAAAATAAATAAGATATATAGCAAAATTATAAAATTATAAAATAATATATATATATATATATTATATATGTACATATTATATATATATATATATATATATATATTACATACATATTATATTATATATATATATATT